TCCCCCTCCTCACACGCCTTCCTCTCTGCTTAGTCTTTTTGGCATCGTCTCCCTTTACCTCCTCACTAATCTTCCCTTTCTCCTCCCTCCCGCATGCTTTATCTCCCTCCTCCCCCTGCTGCGTTATCAAATGTGCTGACGAGTGATTTCTGTCCATCTGTGGGATTTGGGTTCTTTTTATTGTACATAATTTGTTTCATTAAACTGGTAAAAAACTAAATGAATAACCATCCTCATTTATCTTATTGTTTAAAATAGTACAGTTGAATTCAAGTATAGTTGTATAATATAGGAGTTTAAGAACAAGATCAAACTACAATATATAAAAACTGCCTGCGAGTAGTTTTAAAAAAATATCAATTATAGTGTATATTATTATGTATTTATATATTAAATAATGGAATATCCTGTTTCAGTCCAGAAATGGATAACTTTTGTTAGATTATTTATAGGTGCAAGACATCAAAACTAACATAAAGATATTTGCCACAAGTACATTCTCTCAGATTTCCTGGCATTCATTTATTAATTTCCCAACCTAGAGAAGAAGGAGAGCTCAGTTTACCATAAGTCAGAAGCAAAACAAACCCTCAGTAAAGATATACTTGACTTCAGGTATAAAAAATAAATATGTGGAGAGTTGTAATTAATGACATCTCCCACTAGAGGGAACCAGTCTCATTCTACAAACCATCTTCATTATCTTTTACAGAACATTTTCATTCAAACTCATTTAAAAACAGTCTTAAACATGGAAAGGTATTTGAGTTATAATTCAAATGAATAATAATAATTTTGTATTAGATACTTATTTTTGCATTTAAGTCTCATACTGTTACTACCATAACACCAGGGTGTCAAAAGTTATATGGACTGATTTTCTATATATTTTAAAAGACTTAATTAACTTCAGTAAGAAGACAGGTCTACATAGAAGAATAACAAAAAAATTAAATATTAATAATAATTCATTGCATTTATTTTAGCGCTTTTTACAGGTGCTCAAAATCACTTTACATTACCAGCAGTGGCACAGCCCCACCTAGTGTCAGCAGAAAGTAATTCAAGTGATAATTCGAAATAAATACAAAGAAAATACATCTTAAAATATATTTTAAGATCATGTTTAATCATATGATTCGTCTGTACATTGCTGTTTTAGTCCGTGTTCTTCTAATTAGTGTCTACAGTGTGCCTATTGAGCTGTTTTGAGCGACGTGGGTCAAGCCCCGATCTAGCCCACGTCTCTCACCGTCTAAGTCACATGTGTCAAACTCAAGGCCCGGGGGCCAAATCAGGCCCTTGGTGGATTTAATTTCAGCCCGCAGGATAATTTCTAATTACTATTAGATCTGGCCCGCCGGTATATTGCACGCACACCTTCACTCCATCCTGAGGGTTTCCTCAGCTCGGAGCCTGAGCCCAAACATTGATGACCTTGCACCCAAGATGAGATGCCAAGTATCTGAACTAGCATCACAGAGCAGCACACTGAGTTTACATGGATGTTTCCTTCTGCACTTTTTCTCTCACGACAACAGGGCGTGTTTGTTTTTTCTTTGAGGGCAATAGTTTTTTTTGAAGCTGCTGTTGGNAGAAAAAATCACCATAGGGGCACTGTGCTGACATACCTACCAAACGTCATCTCATAATTCAGAGAGCTGATTGGCTGTAAGTATGTGTGCCGCGAAAAGTGTAGTTTTCACCCTGTAGTGAAGAGGGAATGAGAGCGAGGAGTGTATAGCGATTAAAATCAGTAAAACGGAAAGAAAGTGAATGAAGTTGACCATCTACTTCAGCTTTGGTAAGTTCATTTTATGTCATTTTGTTGATCTTCTGGGTTTTGCCTATAGGCTATTGCTCTGCTGGATCGATTGATAGATATTGTGACCTCGGTGATGAGTGTCTGTGTTTTCTCATATGCTCAGCAGCTACAGTGTAGAAATGTCAATGAAATTCTGCTCCTCCAACAATGCAACATATAATAAAATACTAAATAAAAAGTGGTGCAAAAAGTTTATATACATGTAATATAATATTTACAAGAACAGAATATGAAATTAAATAATTTAAATTAAGAAAAAAATTAAATACGGTGTATTAGGTGGATAATAGACCCAATCACAGTGAATGTTCAAGACTACATTTTTCTTCTTCACCTAACAGTGCACATATTTAAGTAATCATAACACAAAGCTAAAAGTTAATCTGTTTTTCCTTTCTTCAGAGGATGGCTGGATTCACAAAACGTGGAAAAGACCGAGAGGGAGAAGTTGGCCGGTTACTACATTTCACAAAAAATTCAGGACCTTGTGAAAAGCGGAAAGAAACAGTTGAAGGAAACTACTTCAAAATATGAAGCAATGGGTATTTTGAAAATGTTTTCAAATGTGTATTAATGTTCATTGTGTGTTATAAATTATTTTCCTGCTTCTAATCATTTGATGTATGAGTATTTATTTACCAGACAATACATTCTGGTACCTTTCTGGTAAGGTAGGTGCTCTGATCTGAAATGATAGATGTTCATTGAGCTACTGCAATTGGGGGAGAGTGTTTCATCATCATATATGACCAGCTTAACCATCAAGTAATCCCAGTTAAAGTTCTACTCAGGATCATACCAATCTGACCAGCTAATGGTGACCAGCTAGACCAGCTAAACCAGCTATCCCGGCCAGCTAATGGTGACCAGCTAGACCACTGTGACCAAACCAGCTATTGGGGTGCAAGGTAAGGTCTGAATTAATTGTTGATAAACTTTGATTTCAATTAATTACACAAAATTAAATCCCCTTTTGCTAAAAATGTTGCGCTGATGGACCTTATTGAAATACTTTACATACCTTTTTTTCATTTGGTTGTATTGTCTGCTGAATATGGCTTTCTATCACTTTGGTTATTTCCATTGTTCCTTATAGTAAAGAATCTTGTGCTGCATCTGACTTGTTGCTATCCAAACAAAGTTTAGACCAAACTAAGAATCTAAATATTGAATACATTTTTTTTTTAAAAGGTCAGTTGCAGCCCTAAAAATAACCCTACGCTGCCATTTCGTGAAGCTATTTATAAAAAAGAAATGTGATGAGTAAAGAAAGGTATAGTTCTATCGTTAGTGGCATCATTAGGATACCTTATTTAGATTGGTAGAGAAAAGCTCTGATGAAGAGAGCTGCCGTCAGCATGGAGGAGATTTATGTTTTAATGCAGCGCTGCACCTTGGGTTGTTTAATGAAGAACGTCTGCCGAGTGTTTCTGGGTCGGAGAACCCTTTGTGGGCCTGCCAGTGTCGCAATGCAGGGAGGAGAAGGAGGAGGAGGCGGCGGCTTTAATTAACAGGAGATCCCTCCAACACACACACACACACAGTTACAGAGCAAAGTCCTACTGCTCCAGTTAGACAGTATGTCTGCAACACTGCATAAATATGTGTGTGTGTTAACTGATCAATATCACCTCTGGAAAAAAACTGAGTCATCCATTTAACTGAAGGCCTAAGCAGTGCTGTTGTCTTCAGAGGGTCATTCATCACTTTCTAAAAGCCTGAAGAAGGCATCTGTCTGACAATCCATGTGAAATTATTTACATTAAAGATGTACTCAAACACAAATGCCACAAGACCTACTGCAAACACTCAGGTTTAACATCACAAATTAAAAGATTTTAAAACTTGGACTCTTTCCATCAATTGCAGGAGTTCTGTCGACAACAGTGGAAATACATCTTGCAAAAAAACAACAACTCACCATTCATCCTTAGTGCTGATTGTTTTCATGATAGTTTAAAAATGAAATAGAAGTAATAGAATTATCTTCGAATATCTGTTGTCCAAAGAGATTCAGATTACTGACATTAATGGAGAGAAAAGTATGCAACTCCTAATTCGAACAAGCAAATATTTGCCAGTTTGACTTGATTTAACAAATGAAACTTAAGTATGAACGCAGCCAGGTGTAGGTGAATGATATACTTAGTAAATAGCCAAGGGATGTGGGTCATTTACTGAGAACAAAATGAAGAAATTGTCAAGATTAAGGTCTTAAATATGCAAAATGAAAATTGCATTCATTCATTTTGACTGCCTTATACCTGCCACAAACCTTAAATTGCCTTATAGCTTAATATATCACTTATCCAGCAGTTAAACAAAGTCCTTAGGTCAAAAGAATGTATACCTAGGTAAATATTTTCAGTGGTTACTACTAACTAGAAAGTTCACCAGCGTCTAAAGTCCTACAGCTTTAGTAGTTTGACAGAGATCGATGTTCAGTATTTATCCTCAGGTGTTTACAACTGATGCAATTATGTTATCATTACAGGGTGTGGGAGAGATTGTTCAATCGCAATACCAGGGTGCGGCTGGTAGCTGTGTATGCAGAGTTGTGAGTAGGTGTCGGGGGCTACAAGACGGTGTTTGGTTTCAGTTTGGCATCTCAAGTTATTTCTAGAACCGAGAGAAGTTAAAAGCAGACCGAAAGGTAATCTAACTCTAAGAAAGAGTGACTGTATACGTGTCTCTATCCCACAATTTCTGCTCATTGTGCATTAAGTATCTTAAATACCTTTTTGTGCATCTTAAAATATAACTAAGTAGCTGATAATTGGAACAGGAGACGTGAAAATATCACAATTTACTTGCCACATCTTAACATGTAAAAATAAAGTGAACAGGTACAAAGAATATGATGTTATTTGAATGAAAGAAATGCACAAAATGCAGCAAAAAAAAACAAATTAAACCAGACGTAACAAAATGCGAGGGTTAACTTTCAAAGAATATGCAGAGAAAAACAAGAAGGGGACGATGCAAGAAAGGAAAGGTGAGAGGAAAGAGATGGAATTTAAAGTGGAATACTGGCTGCTGGTTGGTTGGAAGAAAATAACTCAGGAGAACAAAGGAGTGAAGATGAAAATGATGCCGATGGATATGGAAGAGCCGGTGAAAACTGAGGAGGATGTGGAGGGGTGGGGGGATGTTTCCATGCTGTTTGTTTTTTTACCTGCTCTTATGTTCACGCTTGGCATCGTAAACATGCTCTTCTTAGCGACTGCCTCTTCTGGTTTGCGAACAGGGGAGTGGGTGAGCGGAGCTTGGGATGGTGGCTGCTGAATGTCAAGCTTCTCCAGCTCGGCCTTGCTCTTCTGGGGGGAGTCCTGGGTGAGGAGGCGGTAGGAGCTCTGGCTTGGAGCCTCCTCTTTGACCTCAGAGGGAGCTGGAGCCACGTCTCGGTGCCCGAAGCTTGGATCATCATCCATGGGGATCTCTGGGGGCTTGGAGGAGGCAAACTTGGAAGTGTCCAGAGCCTCAAGAAACTCGTCAATGACGCCCCTTGGTGGTCGCTCGATGAACTCAAACTCCTCAGAGGACACTTCATGCTCGGACACTTCCTCTGCCATCTCTGGCTCCTCAACCTCCATCATCTTCTGGTCCATCTTCTCCGTTTCCACCTGGAAGCTAGCGGGGTTCTTGGCCATGGCTTCCAGGACTGGAGACAGGGAGTCTGCTGTTGGCGACTCTGAATCTGAATCCTCAGCTGGGTTTTTCTTGCTCTGAAAGTCAAGAGGCTCAAACTTTTCGGTCATTTTGAGAGAATCTTGGCTTGCAAACCAATCTTTCTGCTCAATCGTAACCGGTTCTTCCTCTTTGACCTTAGTTGGGGTTGTTTCCTCCATCTCTTTGACAAGATCGAATGCGCCAAAGCTTTGGTCGTCTTCGACTTTGGGTTTGTCGGTCGACTTCACTTCCAACTGCTCAGTCATCTCCTTCAACAGGGACACTTTGGCATCAAAGGCAAACGGATTGTTGACCGACAGATTGATTGGAGGGTTGGGAGACTCCATCATCCTCCGTTCAAGAATGGGACTCTGCTCCGGGCTTCCCTCGGAGGAGCCGGAGTCCAGTTTCTCTGGGTTGAGCGGGGAAGTCTTCAGGATGTCTGGAAGAGATGTCGGTAGAGGAGAATCCTCTTCTTCCTCTTCATCTTCATCTTTCAGATCAGATGAGAACCGATTCACTGACTGCATGAGTGAATCAGCGGCCATCTTTCCAGTCTCAAACTTTTCCCCCTTGTCTAAGAAAGATAGTGGGGTATCCTGGAATTCTCCACTCACGCCATACTGGACCAGATCAGGAGTAGGGGAATCGGACAATTTTGAAGGCTTGCTGTCGGACTTGGAATCTCCAAAATTGGAGTAGCCGCTGTCCGCCAGTGGGGAATAGCCCTCAAATGGGTTGTTGTTCTTCTTCTTCACCTCATACATCATATCATCATCGTCATCAGACTGGTTGTCTTGGAGTTCTTCCTCATACCTGGTAGAGCTAATGGGAGCCGAGTCCTTGGAGAAGGTATCCATTGAGGCCTTGGAGTCGTCTTGGGATGCTAGAAACGGTGAATCCCAGTGCTCTGTTGGGTTAGAGGAGGCAAGGTGAGACTCGGGTACCTTCATCTGGGGGCTCACGGGGGAAGGGCCAGTGGAGGACCTGTCTGAGCTAATCATCTTCTCCTCGGGTGAGAAAGACACGCCGCTGTCTTCACACGGATTATGAGGCCCTGGATCTTTCCCTAAACTCAGGTAAGGACCAGTTAAGGAATCTTCCTTAATCTTACTACGACCCGGTCCGGAGTCACCCTCTTCACCAACCCAAGGCATGTCCTTGGACTGATTAGTGGGGGGTACAGTGGAGTAGGAGCCAAAGGATGCAGCGAATCCCGAAGTAGGGGGCTGGTTGGGACTCTCATTCAGAGAAAGCTCCTCCAGAGAGTCGGGGGAGTGAAGAGGAGAGAGAGGAGAGATGGGAGCAGGGGAATCACCCTTCTGCCCAAGAGCTTGAGTAGAGAGGGAGGAGGAAGAATGCAATACAGCACATATCAAAGACATACTCCATTCCTTACAGTGCACCACACCTGGGTAGAACAAATACTACAAACACTTTAACAAAAACAACCAGACAAGTGCTGCTAAAAGAGGTGGCTGGTAGACAGTTCACTTACCATTTAGGAAATGACTGACAGTTTTGTTAAATTTTAAACTTTTTTTGATACAGTCAAGAAAACATTACAATTTTTTTTAACAAGGACTGAATTTGAACTAAATTAGGTTGACATCATGCTCAAATAATCTTGTTATATCTGATTCATATAAATTGTTTAAGGACTGATAGTTAATCCGAGATTGATTGATTTTGAAATAAATTAAACCATGATACGTTAAGATTGGCTGAGTGCTGGTCATGTGATCGCCTGGTTGCAAAAACAAACAGAAGTGTGATTGTATAGAAGCCTATAAGAAAACTACCGTACCTTTTCCTGGATTTAATACCAGAGGTTTCCCGATGAGTTTACATTTGAATGTCTAGTTTAAAACAGCATGATGTTCATTTTGTAAATAATGGTCCTATTAAAATAGGCTAGGTCTTGAGTATTGAAGGTAAATAAAGTAGGGAAGGTTATGTGTGTTTAGGGCAATCAGCTATGTTTTGGGCATAGAAAAAGGACTTTGTAAAGCAGACTGTCTTCCAGTCAAGATGTGGCAGCATTTGTCTGGTGGTCTGTATTTACCACCCTAGTTTGATGCATGGTGGTAAAATATGTCTTTGTCCCAGGTCTGGCGCCAATATACCATGCTCAATCAAAACACAAACTGTTAAATATAGTAGATAATAATTCCTCTCAACGATCCTTACACAATTTTGTTAAGTATGATCAATTTGTCAATCACTGAGGAGAATCATTATTCCTACAATACTACATGTGTAAGTTCATCTCAATCTACTCTACAAGAACAATCACATGTGAGTCACAATGCAATACAAGCAAAGTCAAACCATTTAGTGTTGTGTTAAGTTACAAACTCACAAGCATCCTATGTTAAGTTAAAAGAATCTACAGCTTCTTACATGCATACAAGGGCAGGGAGTGAACAAAAAAAAAAGTGGTGAAAGTAAATAAAGGAGGAAACACAGCGAGCAGAGAGGACTTGCCTGTTGGGAATTGCATCAGAGGATGAGGCTGAGCTTTAGAAGGAGAAGGTACATCTGTGGAGGAAACAAGAGAAAGCAGGAGAAAGAGTTTAGTTAGCCCAGAAAAGAAAGACAAGGGAAAGTGACAGATAAAATCCGATTACCAAGGAATGAAGCTTGAGATAGAAAGTCTACAAAACCTCAGGGAAGATACAAGGACGGCAGTGCTGTGAATGAAAGAAGTAAAAGTGCAAGACGGGACCAAAAGGGTTAAGTTTGGCTGACTTGAAACGAGGTTCCACGTGGAAAGAAGACGCAGCTCATGATGCATTTTAAAACTAGAATTTACACATTAAAGGTGGGGTAGGTAATTCACTTCAGAAACACTTGTTATATTCCATGGAATGCTCTTAACATCCCAATAGCAATGAATATATTAAATGCTTTGACAATAAATACATTAAAAAAGTCATCTGTGGAAGCCGTGGCGCTGTAAAAAGCACAACCAATCATCTGACCCGGCCCGGCTAAAATAACTGGATGGCCTACCTGCCTGTCAGCCTTCCATCTGTGCACAAACTTATCTCGTGCCCTAATTGGTCATGTGCGCGTTCGTGTGTGTTGGAGGAGGGGCTCTGTAAGGAAGTCTGAAGGAAGGGGCAGATTTTTTTCCGGCTGTGTATTTTCAAAATTCTAGCGCACTCGAGCTGGTTTCTCCATTCTTACCTACCTTACCTTTAAGCATTTTTGAAGCTACATTTTCCCCATTGGGACGATAAAAAAGAAATGATAGGATGAGTCTCAAGTATTGCCATTAAAGCAAACAGCTGATCACACAGATGCGTTATGATCTGCAGTGGAAAACGAGATTCTGAAAAGTACCTTGTACCAAAAATAAGTCAAGAAGATCCGTGCCATGTAGTGGAAATGTGACATGTGTGAAAGAAGCTATAAATACTAAGTGACAGTAATTCTCAGCTTGGCAAGTCTTAATTAAAGCGTCCATGTGTAGTTAAAGAAAATCTAAAGGAGGACATCACGTAGGTCCCTGCAGGGTATTCCTTACCCAATTTAAAATATTATTAAATATATCACAACTTGACATTGTCGGGTTGGCGTTTTCTTACACAACAAGTCATATGGGTATGTAAATATTTGTTAAAAATGCCTCATCTGGTAGTAAGGTGGGGACATGACAGTTTGCTATGGAGAAAGATAAAGAAAGCTGAAAGCAAACAAAAAGGAGACAGCTGTCGTGATGAGACAAGAATGGAAAGAATTCCTCCCTGATCAGGAGGAAGTGATTAGGTTTAGTGACGTGTAATCCTCAGGATTTCTCAGAAGTGCAACATGGGCAATTTTAAAACAAGTTAGTCAGACGTAAAAATATAATCCAAATATTAATAAATACAGCACATTCTTACACGTCACCACTACTTGTTGCCAAAGACAGGAAACTTACGAATAACAGATGGCTTGTAAATGCAAATCAAGCTGAGTTGAATTAACGAGGAGAACTGTGTCTGATTATTTTACCAAACAACACTACTTCTGGCAGGCGTGCACAACAAAATGTGTAGTGGATAAAAGCTGAAAATCACATGGCACTTATGCTTTTCTGGTTTAACCACAAAGAGATTTTAGCAGATTATCGTGTGCCGTTTGCAAAACAGCCTGTAGCTATTCTAAAGCTGGGGTGAGAGTCAGTGACAAATCCAACAAAAACGACTTAATAGTACAAAAGGCTAAAATAAATCCTCTGGAGTCCATGAGCCTTGTTTAAAGTGGACCTATCATGCTATATTGGAAATATATATTGTAGGGCCTACCTATACAAAACATGTCTGAAGTTTTTTGCTTAAAATACCAAACAGATCAGCCATTGTAGCCATGCCTCATACTGCTCATACCCCTCTTTTCCAGCCCTGTTAGAGAAATGCAGATTTTGGGTTTTTTCTATAAAAAAAAAAAGAAGAGTAGGCAGAGCTAATGCCTGATCAGAATTCTACCGGAGATAAAGTTAAATTCTGCTGTGATAAAACACCATCCTGTTCTAAACCACATCAAGGATTATTTCTGAAACAGTATTGAGCTCAAATGCTTTTTCTCTTGCGGGTTTATCACAAGGTGAGTTATTTTTGTATGTCCTACTTTTTAAAAACACATGTGTTCTCCAGTACAGGTTAGCTCTGAGGGTTAGCGAGGCTTGCTAATGTAAACAAAGACGAGATTACGTCCAAAACACGTCAGGCATTGTTTCTGATAGCAACTTTCTGTGGGTCCGCCGCCGATTTGACGTCAGATCGGCAGCAAATCTGTATCCGCTCGTTGTACACCAGTTTTTAAAAGATTTGGGTACGGACGAAAAGAGAGAGGGTTTTATTTTCTGACGCTGCGTGAGCTCCCTTCACATATTTATGTATAAAAGACATCAAAAAGTGCATTTTGCATGATAGGTCCCCTTTAAATAACAAACTATCATATTAATCAAACAACACAATCTTACAATCCCAGGACACAAAGAAAACACACAAAATTACCAGTAAATTGAAAAACAACATGAACCATTAACTTTCTCTTAGAATATTACTCCCAAGCTCCCGACTCTGTCTAGCTGACAACACTATAATACGCTCTGAAGGTTAAATATTCAAAGGTTTAAGAAAACAACCTTGCCTTTAGATAGCCATTCTTGAAACGGGTTACGACATATTTCTTACGTGGCCTGCACAGGTGAAAAATACCCTCGTTGTACTTTCAATGTGGACAAAGAAACCATATTGTTGGTTGCATGTCCTGTAGATTTCATCAATATGGGACATTAGGGCTGCAACAAACGACTAATTTGATAATCGATTAATCTATCGATTAATGAAACGATTAACTACGATTATTCGGATCGTTAAGGTCTTTAACTGTACTACACTGTATATCGACACTGCTTATCGATCCGTCCTTTTAAAACGATGTATTAACGGTTCTTTTGACCAGAAATAAGGTATAACTTAACTAAACAAATGGACAAAACTAAACATGCTTTTTATTTTGAATTAAATACATAATATTCCTCACATCAAAAGAGAACAACAATGTTTTAACAAATCATATTAAATAACCGAGCACATGTTAGTTTGTTCCACAATTTGTGACTGGTGCTTTAGAGTTAGTACTGTTACACTTAAACAGAATAGCTGAAACTTTTAATCAAGAATACATATACAGATACCCTTAATCATCTAACCTATGTTTTTATAACTGAAGTTAAACCTCTGTGTGTTGCTCTAGGTTACATAACACCTGCAACGTGGAAACGTTTACTCGTGGACGGGGTTACCGAGCTGCTAGAAGACAGTCGAACCTGGTGCATTCCTCCGTCTGAATGTGGTGCACTTTTGCTAAATGTTTAGACAAATTGCTCACTTGTTCTGTGTTACAACAGAGACCCCGTGTAATACCATCGTTAAAAGGGATTACATGGATAAACTGTTATTGCACTTTGGTAACCCAGCGATTGTATGTAAGCCAGATCGCATCTCGCAGGACGGTCATAAGTTTAACCATCACCTCGTAGAAGTGCTAGTGTTCTCATGCTGCATGTTAAAAACCTGCTGTATGTCGATCCGAATAAATCTGATTATATCGTATATCACTGCCACCGTCTAACCCTCGCAAGCTCGATAGATCTGAGATCGATTATCAAATTAGTCGTTTTGTTGCAGCCCTAATGTCCGAGTATGCAGTAGGATACTCTCTATCGCTCTCTGAGAACATGCAATTGGGCCAAGATCAGAATAAATGATTTCATTTGTCTCACACATTTGAACAATGTATACAAGGAAGGTATATTTTACCTGTGCAGGCTCACTGTAAGTCAGATAAATATTATTGCATATTAGAATAACCCGGTTCAGATTGGCCATGAGCACATTAGAGGCGATCATAGTCTAAGAGGCAAGGTATAATGTTTATGTTAGCTTCTTAAAAACCCTTGTACTATTATATAAACCATTCTGTTATGTATGTACAGATATTATATGTTGTGTCCATGCCTTATGGTAACAGAGTCCGGGATAGCGAAAAACAATGTCCGCGGATAGAAGCTTTGTGAAATTATTTACTTCAGAGAAGTTGATATAGGATTCATGTCTCTGTTTTTCAATTAACCTACAGGTGTAGATTTGATGTGTTTTTTCTTTGTGTCCCTGGGATCATCTCGTAAGGAACTCTCGCGCTCCGCTGAATCGATCTGAATTAATATGATAGTTTGCCATCTCCTGCGTGTGTGTGTAAACTGCCCCGCCCCCTCGCAAGCAGGCGGGGGAGAGATCTCTCGTCTGAATTGGGAAGATCGAAAATACATTATAGACGCATTTTGTAGTCATATTGCATATTAGAAACGGAGTTGGCGACACTAAGACTGCGATATAATGTTTATGTAGCAATAATACATATGACATATGTTTTAAATGTCTCCTGTACCCATAAAAAAGAGCGATAACTTTGGAGTTTAACAGGGTGTAGAACACATGTGATGACGTCACCAACGAATCGACGACTGAATTAGTTGCCAACTAATTTGGTAATCGATTTTAATCGATTAAGTCGATTAGTTGTTGCACCCCTAATGGACATAATGAAATCTACAGGACATGCAACCAACAATATGTTACATTGCAAACAGGAGTTGCCAATAGAAAGTTTGGCATACTTTAAAATGGTACCAATTTGTATAAGTCTATACTAAAACGTTCTTAGTTGTAGCCTGCAGTGTAACTTAATGAATTCCTGGGATATCCATCTCCTCTTCTTCAAGCATGATTTTTTATTGAACTTTCCCAAAGGCATAATCCCTGAAATCATTGGACAAATACAACGTTTAAAATCATATGAGAAGGAAGAACAAAATCACAGTCAGAAATCAGCTGACATAAATCATAAAGTTGATTATTTAATTTGTTGGCATTACATTTATCAGAATCTTCAGAAGAAATTAGTGTGTTTAATGAACTCCCTGATTTTATAATCAAAACATCACATGGCCAAACTGATTATTTGTATGCGGCCGTTTCTTGTTTGGTTACCTCTGCAGTTTAGGTTTACGTTCCAGCCCTGAAGAAGACCTGTAGGATTGAACCAATAACACAAATTTAGCGTAAAATCTTAATCTACAGCAGAGAGTTGTGAAGCATTTAGCATCAGAATTGAGTAGAAACAAGTAATTCTCACTTGGTTTAAGAAAATCTACAAGTTCAATATATCCATAATACATTTGTATGAGCACAAATATCAGGGAAAAAGACAATAAAAACTATTTTAGTACTAATTATGTGTCCTGCAGGAGGTAACAAGTATATTTCTATTCAGGTTGTAATTAAACAACACTCTATACTATAGTGTATTTTGTAATTGTTGAACAGACTTTCGTTTAGGACAGTATTAAGTCTAGGCCAATCCGAGCAAATGTAACCAGATTAGAGTCACATCACATGCCACCCTAAACATAGCTGGACCAACAGTCACTTCTGGCCGCAGAGAGTTAAAACCTGGAGCCGACAGCTTAAGCTTTTCATGTTCTGGTTTTATTTGCCGATACATTTCAGGTACGAGTCGTCACCGTAAGTTATTTTTTACAGGAGTCATGTGTCACTGTGTAGTGGAATACATGATCAGTCTAAAATTAAATAATGGAGTCATTGTGCCGTTCCCTGTGGAGGGTTTTTAGGGGTCTGAATCATTTCTATAAATGACTGGTTTGATCACAGGACTGCACGTGAAAACATTTGAGAAAATATTATTTGGTGATTGTGTTTTGATGACACACACTACATTATTTCCAATGTGTTTAATGGCATTAACAAACTGCACTCAAGCTGCCAGCCTTTAAGCCCCATTACCCAGAAAACAACAGTGCATACTGGTCAGGACATAATGTGTCCACTTGTCTTAATAACTATGCATTCTTGTTAACATATTCATTACATTTTTCTCAGTAATTTCACTTGAAACGGACAAGCTAATTTTTCCATTTCAGTTCTGAAGAAAAATACTTTTAAAACAACTATATTTTAATTCAGACAGAAGTGCTTTGTAGTAATTATTATTAATGACTTTAAAAAATATATATATATATATATATTAAATGACAGATATTGGTATACAAGATGTTGTCTTACAATATTGTAATATTAACTTAAACTACATCATCCATTTCCTATGAAACTATTTTACAAGAGTTGTTCCTTTTGTCTCTGTCCTTGGTGGGAATCGAACCTCCGACTGTAATCTCCTCGCTCTACCGCAGAGGTATTTGCTGAGCTATAAGTGTCTCTGGGAGTGTCTCACAGCTTGACACTGATATACGACTTCAGGCCGGATACTCACCTGCTGCCATCTTGTAAAATAAGGAACTCAATGTACGATTCTGTGCTTGTTCTGTAACGTTACTTTTTTCATTAATTGTGAAAATGTCCAAGCAAGACCCAGAGCAGGTTACTTAGGGTCCTGCTGAAAAAAACTAACAGGAAAACCACCTGAACCTCATTTAAAGCTACAGTAAAACACAGACTGTGTAAGAAGGTATTAAAACACTGAAAGCTTAAATTGAATTCTGGCTCTTTTTGGAATCATTTTGGTAAAGGCCGCTTGTTCAGGCACATTTGCGAAGGTTGTGTTCCTTTGTTAAGGAAAAGTGTTTATTGAATTGCTATATTTAGACTACTGAGCCACCAAACTCCATTGAAGAAAACTGTAATTTGACCTCACAGGACAAAGGGGTAAAATTACTGCTCGCTCATGAACTGCTCGCAGGAGCCTCGCAGCGGAGTTAGTGCGGAGCGCATAAAGCAGACCCTTCACGCGATAGCAGAGCGTACAGGAGGGGTAGTTAATCGATTGCAGATGGCGTTGTGCTCCTGGACGGATAACAAAAAGATTAAACCTAAATGGGTCGCGAAATATACTTTGGCGGACGTTAATATACCTGGGCGGCCCGCACCAGTAAAGTCTGTGTGGGAAACCCTGTAGTCAGAAAGGGCCGTCTGACAGCAAGGTAATGCCGTGAAAACATTTTAAATATAGCGTACATGTAGACTGATAGATGCTTTTAGGTAGGGATGTCCCGATCACCTTTTTTTGCTCCCGATCCCGATCATTTGCCGATACCGATTTTTCCCGATCCGATCTTTATGCAATGCATTAAGAGAAAAAAAAGAAAAAAGCATTCAAGTTGTCCCTTAAGGTTATTTTTTTATTTAAATTGGATATTCTATCCAACATGGATATAGCTTCTTTTTTTCACAGCAGCATTGGATCAGTTCAGTTGTGCAGCATTGGATCAAAACAAAAATAAAGCTTATCAGTACTCGTTAGCTTACTGCTACATAAGCTTTATTTTTGTTTTGATCCAATGCTGCACAACTGAACTGATCCAATGCTGCTGTGAAAAAAAGAAGCTATNTACTTATTTGCTAGCATGGAAGGATTCCTGTTCCTTTAAGCACAGTTACTTACCGACTTCTTGGTTGGGACTATTTTATCTGTTACCTTCTCACATTTTTTAGAGTCGTTTAGTACGCTTCCGCGTCGTGTCTCCCGTGGCGTTTTCTTGGTTTTTTCTTTTTTTGACGTTTTTGTTTGTTTTTTTTTCTCTTTCGTTCTGTTTTTTTTTTTTTTTTTTCTGTTCGTTTTGTTTTTTTTTTTTTTTTTTTTTTTTTTTGTGTTTTTTTTTTTTTTTTTTTTTTTTGGTCTTGGTTTTGTTGTTTATTTCACGGTGCGTTTGACTTCTTTGAGGTCTGGTTGTTTCTTTTTGTTCTGTGAGTGGTTCTGAGCTTCTGCGTGCGAATATCGGCTATCACCCTCACGACTTTGCGCGCACGAATGCTCAGCACGAGCGCTTGATGAGCATAAGTGTGATACGAAGCGGGATATGAGAGGACTTTATGCTTTCTGCTACCCGCAAGCCAGGTACCATAGCTCGGGATATGTTATCCCTGTGTACAGGCTGCGTCGCGCGCGCTCCACCAAAAAAAGGGAGCTAGGTCGCTCTCCGCCGGGTCGCCGTGTCCCCGCGTAGTAACTATTGGGGTACGTAAACAAACGGGGAGTCTAAAGGCTAACTTGATGCTCCAAAGGACTAATAAAAGGTGTGGTATGTTTGTTGTTGTTGTCGTTTGGAGAACTAGGACGGAGATCGACGTATGCCAAGTTTGCATCGAAGAGTGCCTCTTTTGCACGTAGGTTCGTAGCCTAGCAACGTGGCCAAGCGTGTCCGAGGCGTGAAGATAATTATACTGTCTAATCTCCTCGTCTAAGGTGCCAGAGTGCTTCTTGTCGAGTAGAACTCCCGCCTCGAGTGTTACCACAAACTTATTGCAAGAAAATAGAAAACCGGGTCCCGTAGGTCGTATATAGGTGTAAAAGTGGCCTAGTAGAAAAATTAAAAAAAAAATAGAAGAGCCCGAATTCTCCAGTGAGTAAGAAATTATATCCGGGAAAATGGTGCCCAAAAAATAGGAAGACAAATAAATGAGAGAGTGCACCCGGCGGCCCCGTACCCGATGTTCGTCCAAAAAGCGTCATGTACTTTCTCTACCTGTACTTACTTATGAAACGTCGGGTAACGATCTGTAGCGAAGTGTCGTTGGGTCTGGAGTTGGAGGTCCGAACCACTCCGTGTATGCGTTAGGAGACCTTGGTCGAGCGGCTGCGCCGCTCCTTCGCCACAGACGGAATCCGGGACGCTTGCTAATAGATAGTCCATCCGCCGTGGGCAAACCCCGGACTTGTAGGTAATGGGTTCGCGAGTCACCCGGGCTCTTGTATCCGCTCGAGTCCGTCGAGAGAACCTAGCCTCAGATTCCGCCCGGCTTCCGTAGTCTCCGGTGCCTTCTCCCGAGGGTTATGATCTAACTAATGAAGATAATAAGATACATCAAAGTATACAAATTATATGCCCCTTGATATCCCTAGGTTTACTCATCCTTTCATATCATGGACGATAGTTAGAAAATGTGTTTTGTAAGTATTATGTCTTGTATGAAGGTTGATACGAGGAGGGTCTGTTATATTGGGAACAGTAGCTCGGTCTGAAAGATATCGTATAGGTTTGTAAGGTTAACAGCGTTACCACTCCTCCCTCAGCGTTATACAACTATGTTTTGACAACAGAGCGACCAGCATTAGTAATAAGGAGCGTAATAGGCGAGGCCTATGACACCACGTCAACTTTACGACGAGAGCTCGACAACCCTACGCGCGCAATGGGTTATTACCGCGACGCGCGCGAGTCGAGTCCTCCCTCGAGCCCGACTTCTCAGACGAACCTCTACCCTTCTTTGATCTGGTTATACAAGGTGTGAGCGCTCTGGTCGGAGGAGCGCGATGCGCGCGCGTGATTTTCCCAGTCCCCGGCCTCGAAGTGCCCCACTGGATCTGTACTCTACGCTCTCATCGACCTCACCTCCCCTGCTTTCGCCGTCTGTACACTACTCTGAGTGTGAGGACATAGAATGTGTTCTACTATGCTTTATCCTCTGCCGGGCTATGTTACGCGCTATCCTCCCTCAACCTCTTTTATATCCGTACAGCTATACGAGACTATAGACTAGTGGTTTCTCTCCTTGTGTAGATCTATGGAAACAAATTCCCAAATCCAGACTCGCTAATCATGTTGTTCGGAGTCGTTAAGGGACGTGTAGGTGTTAAGGATATCCACTATAAAGGTTTATAGCATGGAGAACGTACGCGTAATACGGTAGTGGATATTTCCGATAGATGATAGAATTGGGTTGTTTGTCGTTTGGTCCGAATTCATTTGGAGCCGACGGTACGTTCATAATCGTTTCTGGGTGTGTTGTGAATACATGTCTTTTATAGCTACGGCTGGCGCTCCGTGTCCTGCCTTCTGAGTGCCAGAGGAGTTGTCCCGAGGTTCTTGTCACCTATGCAAATACTTTATTGACCTGATGTGTCAGGGGAACCCACCCTTTATTGAAAATTAACTAGACGTTATGGTGTTTGTTTCTATGGTCACTGTTTCTCCTTGGAAAAGGAGGTGTTCCAGAGTTGTCCAACCGTAATGAAACTCCTTTATGTTGATCGTCTTAACTACGCTGCACCTTGA